ACATCTAAAACACAGTACTGTAGAGTACAAGGCTAAAACAACACCAGACATTTGTTTATTCAATAGATAATGCAATATGCAATAACATAATAGTTATAAATTATCTGAGGTTTAACGGTGAGAGTTTAAAACACACCTCTTATAAAATAGTAAATTACATTATATCTACATTATCGGAGAAGTAAATGTTGTTTAATAAGTCGAGGCACCGAGGGATAAAAGATTTTTTCCATAAATTTGTATGATAGCGTGGTAGCAGAAAAGGGTTTAAAAAAGACAAAATGGGCTAGATGGTGCATGGAAAATAATTTTGGAAATAATGTAAGAAGAATAAAAATTGTTATTAAGACATTTATGGATAAAACCGGCGTCAAGAAGCTTTCTCCAAGACTAATGTTTTGTAAGATTAAAATGATTGCATGAGGCAGCGTAATCGATGCATACGAAGTGGAAGTTTGATTACATCAAAATTTGACAAATTTCACTCCGTTCAATCTTCTTAATCAGATAGATATATTCCGGCGACCAAATTTGAAAACAATATTCCAGTTGGCCTTTCTGCATGTTCGTTCGATCAAGATAAACATTCCGAACGCCTTTGATATAATTACATTATTATGGTCGAATTTAATTCAGCTGTGAAAATGACCCCGGGGTCTTTTACTTGGGAAACGTGTTCAATTATATCGTCGTCATATACGGCTATATAATATTATATAAGTGTAGCAAACTGTTTCTCGACGCATCCTACAAAATGTACAGCAATAGTCAACTAAATACAAAGAACAAAGCATATATATATTAGCATAAAGATTAAGATGACAAAATTATCCCAATTCAGCGTTTGGTCGAGATCACTGCCAAGTAAAATATGGTTGCAGTATTGTTGAATGTAGGAATATATAAGAATCATGGGGTATCGTTATGTCGGACGAATAGCGACAATCAACTCCGCTCATTTAGAATTTAATTAGTTAACATCCTTTACAGAAACATTTTTGTGGTCGTAAACAAACATTTCTATTATTCAAATATAGTGGGATATCGATGATAACAATCAAATAATAAGAGGGGATTAAGGTGTAAAGAACATGGGTGCCACAATTAATTCCAATATGTTCCAATTATCATGCTCTGCTTTTAACACGACAATGCGTACAGTCAATGTTCGCATCGACGACATATATCGAAACTGAAAGAAACGATAATTGCAAGTACAATGTATAAACATGTTTATTTTGTGTTTATATTGTGTTTATATTGTGGCCGTACCTTGCAGTGCTCACTATATTGTAGCTGTATCTGGCAGTGCCCACTATATTGTGGCTGTAATCTGGCAGTGCCCACTATACTGTGGATGTATCTGGCAGTGCCAACGATATTGTGACTGTACCTTCCAGTGCCAACGATATTGTGGCTGTACCTTGCAGTCCCCGCTATATTGTGGCTGTACCTGGCAGTGCCCACTATATTGTGGCTGTACCTGGCAGTGCCCACTATATTGTGGCTGTACCTTGTAGTGCCCACTATCTTGTGGGTGTACCTTGAAGTGCCAACGATATTGTGGCTGTATCTGGCAGTGCCCACTATATTGTGGCTGTACCATGCAGTGCCCACTATATTGTGGCCGTACCTTGCAGTGCCCACTATCTTGTGGGTGTACCTTGAAGTGCCAAAGATATTGTGGCTGTATCTGGTAGTGCCCACTATATTGTGGCAGTACATGTACCTTGCAGTGCCCACTATATTGTGGCCGTATCTTGCAGTGCCCAATATCTTGTGGCTGTACTTTGCAGTGCCCACTATATTGTGGCTGTACCTTGCAGTGCCCACTATATATTGTGGCTGTACCTTGCAGTGCCCACTATATTGTGGCTGTACCTACAGTGCCCACTATATTGTGGCTGTACCTGGCAGTGCCTACTATATTGTGGCTGTACCTTGCAGTGCCCACTATATTGTGGCCGTATCTTGCAGTGCCCACTATCTTGTGGCTGTACTTTGCAGTGCCCACTACTAGTATATTGTGGCTGTACCTTGCAGTGCCCACTATTAACACGACAATGCGTACAGTCAATGTTTGCATCGACGACATATATCGAAACAGAAAGAAACGATAATTGCAAGTACAATGTATAAACATGTTTATTTTGTAAACTTCATGATATGAACTAAATCAATAAATGGATAAAAGATTAACGAATTACTATTATATCACATTAATCAATATTTTCTCTGGCTATGTTTGTATCAATGGATGTTAGTCTGTAGGCTATATGGACACAAGTTCATTACTATTGGTGTCCACGTGATTTGTATGCAAGGTTAGGACGTTGCACGTTGTAGAGACCAGCTTTGTGGCTACACTTGAGCTACACTTGTCCTTTATGTTCGTAGATACCGTTCGATTAAGCAAATAGTACAAGACACCCCTTCGACGAAGGTGTTTTGCGGACATGTCAATAACCATTAGAATAATTGCCCATTTTGGTATATACGTGATATTCGGTCGTATAATTGGGGGAAATTATTCACAGTCGACAAAATTAAAAATATGACGAATTTATCAAAAAGAAATGATGTGAACACGAGTTGAAAATATACTTTTCATAAGGTTGAAACGCCATCGTCGGAGGTGCGAACACGATTTGCTGTGTTCGCTGATAAGAACCTGTAAAGAGAAAACAATGTGCGATATCAGGTGATTCTCCTATTTGAATTATATTGTCGTTTATGTTGGTTATTCGAATGGCCGAAATACGCCACGGATTCAAGAGGTTCAATCATTCTAAATGACCTACCCAGTATACTTAGTTCGCGTTCGTGTGACCCCAATGTATTCACACATCAGTTAATTGCTTGTTCCGATGACACGATAAATTGTGGTGAAACAGACTTTCAGTAAATTTCAAAAAGTCGCATTGAATTTGAGTGTTAAATCATTCATCTTATCTACAAGGCGATTGTTGACAAGCTATTTGCGACCAGTCAGTGTGTATGGTTGTAAAGTTTGGGCGAAGATTGAATCTCAGTAAAATCTTATATTGAGAATAAAATATGGGTTTTATCGTAACATACATATTATATATTGAGGGGGTAAAGATAACGTACAGCTATTTTTAGCGCAGTAATACATACACTCAGAAGTCTTATTAGAAATCTTAAACAGAAAGCAAAAAAATCAACAAATTATTTCTAGGAAAGTACTGGAAATTTAAAAGTCATCTCAATATATAGACAGTTGTGCGCGTGACTGTGCTGTGTGACAGTCTTTCATTTAAGTTGCCATAACCTTTAAAAACAATTCTATAAAAAAAGGATTATGTATAACAAAACTCAAATTGACGATGAAGCCAGATTCATTACGTCCAGCGAAAGAATTTGTTAGTTCCCCAGTTCTGCCAAGTAGGTGGTCATACTGTTTGACCATAATCTACCATGCTATAAAATATTATATACAGTAGACCATTTTTTAGATTATACAGCAAACCCCATGCAGGCCCACTTGGAAATATCCCCATGGGTACTCACCGTAATTTTAGGTGGGAGTTCTCTACAGCCAGTTGAAAACTGGACTCGACGCTTTGGGCAACTTTTGACTTTTCTCGCCAAAAAATGACCTAAATTTTGCTAATAGGGCAGAAAATCTTGAAAATGGGACTCTTGATGCGATCGTGAAAATAGAACAATAATAGAAGCATCCCTCCCCCGAGGAAGGGGCACATACCTATTATTTTGCATATTCATGTTTAATTTTTCTATATTCATTATCATTCCACTTTTTATACAAGCTTGTTGGGATATACGTGTATAGTATAGGGGTTAGTGCAATTATATCAAAATGAAATGTTGATTGGTATGGATACATCCCAGTAGCACAATTTGATATGTTTGTCAGTATCACCTACTACATTCACTCTTTTGTTGTCTGACGATAGCCAGATATCTATCAGGAAATGGGTTAATGATTTCTTGTTTCACCTTATATTTAAATTTAGTGCTTGGAATGATACAGGAGTATGCAGGTACGCAATTGTCACCACCTGGTGGCGCTATAACAGACTATAAATTTACACACCATCGGACACGATGTCTTGAATTCCCTATGTGAAAAAGTTTTGACAATCCCAAGTTGTTTTGAATAATGATATTCAGTTATGGTTACCTGTTTGTTTGTAATATAGTGTAAATGAAATACTGAATGGTGGGAACAGAACACAGTTTGACATTTTTGGCTCATGTGAGCCTAATGGCATACTCATGTCTGTTCGTATGGACGATGTGTATCAAATCTGGTTCCACCAACATCTTTAGTAGTTGAATGGCCGATTTGCTTTCATCATGTTTTGTCATCTTAACAACAGTTATTCAAATCGTTTAATCTCAGGCTGAACCTGACAGTGGCCACTATCTTGTGGCTGTACCTTGCAGTGCCCACTATATTGTGGCTGTACCTTGCAGTGCCCACTATATTGTGGCTGTACCTTGAAGTGCCCACTATATTGTGGCTGTACCTTGCAGTGCCCACTATCTTGCGGCTGTACCTTGCAGTGCCAACAATATTGTGGCTGTATCTGGCAGTGCCCACTATATTGTGGCTGTACCTTGCAGTGCCGACTATATTGTGGCTGTACCTTGCAGTGCCGACTATATTGTGGCTGTACCTTGCAGTGCCCACTATATTGTGGCTCTACCTTGCAGTGCCCACTATATTGTGGCTCTACCTTGCAGTGCCCACTATCTTGTGGCTGTACCTTGCAGTGCCCACTATATTGTGGCTCATCTGGCAGTGCCCACTATATTGTGGCTGTATCTTACAGTGCCCACTATATTGTGGCCGTACATTGCAGTGCCCACTATCTTGTGGAAGTACCTTGAAGTGCCAACGATATTGTGGCTGTATCTGGCAGTGCCCACTATATTGTGGCTGTACCTTGCAGTGCCCACTATACTGTGGCTGTACCTTGCAGTACCCATTATATTGTGGCCGTACCTTGCAGTGCCCACTATCTTGTGGCTGTACCTTACCGTGCCCACTATATTGTGGCTGTACCTACAGTGCCCACTATATTGTGGCTGTAACTTGCAGTGCCCACTATATTGTGGCTGTATCTGGCAATGCACACTATATTGTGGCTGTATCTGGCAGTGCCCACTATCTTGTGGCTGTACCTTGCAGTGCCTATTATATTTTGCCTGTATTTGGCAGTGCCCACTATATTGTGGCCGTACCTGGCAGTGCCCACTACATTGTGGCCGTACATTGCAGTGCCCACTATCTTGTGGCCGTACCTTGCAGTGCCCACTATCTTGTGGCTGTACCTTGCCGTGCCCACTATATTGTGGCTGTACCTACAGTGCCCACTATCTTGCAGCTGTACCTTGCAGTGCCCACTATCTTGTGGGTGTACCTTGAAGTGCCAACGATATTGTGGCTGTATCTGGCAGTGCCCCCTATATTGTGGCTGTACCATGCAGTGCCCACTATATTGTGGCTGTACCTTGCAGTGCCCACTATCTTGTGGGTGTACCTTGAAGTGCCAACAATATTGTGGCTGTATCTGGTAGTGCCCACTATATTGTGGCTGTACCTTGCAGTGCCCACTATATTGTGGCCGTATCTTGCAGTGCCCACTATCTTGTGCCTGTACTTTGCAGTGCCCACTATATTGTGGCTGTACCTTGCAGTGCCCACTATCTTGTGGCTGTACCTTGCAGTGCCCACTATCTTGTGGCTGTACCTTGCATTGCCCACTATATTGTGGCTGTACCTTGCAGTGCCCACTATCTTGTGGCTGTACCTACAGTGCCCACTATATTGTGGCTGTACTTTGCAGTGCCCACTATATTGTGGCTGTACCTTGCAGTGCCCACTATATTGTGGCTGTACCTGGCAGTGCCTACTATATTGTGGCTGTATCTGGCAGTGCCCACTATATTGTGGCCGTACCTTGCAGTGCCCACTATCTTGTGGCTTTTCCTTGCAGTGCCAACTATATTGTGGCTGTATCTGACAGTGCCCACTATATTGTGGCTGTATCTGGCAGTGCCCACTATATTGTGGCTGTATCTGGCAGTGCCCACTATATTGTGGCTGTACCTACAGTGCCCACTATATTGTGGCTGTACTTTGCAGTGCCCACTATATTGTGGCCGTACCTTGCAGTGTTCACGATATTGTGGCTGTACCTGGCAGTGCCCACTATCTTGTGGCTGTACCTTGCAGTGCCCACTATAATGTGGCTGTACCTGACAGTGTCCACTATATTGTGGCTGTACCTGGCAGTGCCCACTAAATTGTGACTGTACCTTGCAGTGCCAACTAAATTGTGACTGTACCAACAGTGCTCACTATATTGTGGCTGTACCTGGCAGTGCCAACGATATTGTGACTGTACCAACAGTGCCCACTATATTGTGGCTGTAACTGGAAGTGCCCACTATAGTGTGTCTGTATCTGGCAGTGCCCACTATAGTGTGGCTGTATCTGGCAGTGCCAATGATATTGTGACTGTACCTTGCAGTGCCCACTATATTGCGGCTGTACCTTGCAGTGCCTGCTATATTGTGGCTGTACCTGGCAGTGCCCACTATATTGTGGCTGTACCTTGCAGTGCCCACTATCTTGTGGCTGTATCTGGCAGTGCCCACTATATTGTGGATGTACCTTGCAGTGCCCACTATATTGTGGATGTACCTGGATGTTTTGAATTACATTATAACTGTACTTGGGTGTTGTTGAAATGGTCCTAACAGTGCCTACTAAATTGTGAGTGTACATGGATGTTTTGATATGGTGTACCTGTCATTCGCACCACATTGTGAATGTACCCGTGTGTTGTTGAAATGGTCCTAACAGTGCCTACTAAATTGTGAGTGTACATGGATGTTTTGATATGGTGTACCTGTCATGCCCACCACATTGTGAATGTACCTGTGTGTTGTTGAAATGGTCCTGGTAGTTCTTACAACTTTGCAAATGTACCTCAGTGTTTTGAAATGGTCTCAGCAGTGCTCAGTGACTGGAATGTGTGATAGTCAACATTATTTCACTTAGACAGTGAATACTTCTAGTTACTTATACTTTAATTTCCCAGAGAATGTGTATTATACAGATTAAAATATTGCAATGTTTTACATAGATACCAACCAATCCAGACTAACATTACATCCACATCAACCAATCATCACATCCACATCAACCGACCCAGGCCACAACCAACACTAGTTTTTTAGAAGTCAATGACGACAGAATAAATAAATTTATGAATTTTGTGAAGACACAGTCAACTCTGATGAAACCAATAAAATTGATAGGTGTTACACCACCTGCTGAAAGCCTCCATGAAAAGCCAAAATGAATGGAGAAACACTGTGTCAGCAGGCCATGTGTTAATACAAAAATAATTTGGCCTAAAATATATATTAATACATAAAACAAATTAGTGGTTAGGTTAGAGAGTTGCCTGAGAATGCAAACTGTGAACTTCATAACAAGAAGTTTTTCCAAATGTTCTCTATATTGTTTATTTCTCAAAGTTTATTATATAGCTCATGTCTCCTTGTCTTCTTTCTG